TGTGTGAAACATCGGAGGATATTTCTTTCAGGATCACCTTTATCAGAAATGACTTCTTACAAGGGTTAATCTTCCACTTCACTTTTTCCTACCTTAAGCCAAATCAGGAATTTTAATACCTGTGTTCTCAACCAGAATTGACAGACATGGTGGGCAAATTTGTAGTGGCAGGTTTCTACTTTGGATAACTACATTATTATTTATTGCACTTCATTTCAAGAAAATCTGCAAGAATATGCTGTATTGACAAACCTTTCACAGTTTCTGACACAGTGTCCGTCCATGCTGAGTGAGTGAATTCCATATGGTAAATCATAATCGTAAATAGGAGGCAGGCCTCTACTACCCATTCCCCAGGTATCAGCCTAAGAAAAATATTCCTCATTTGATAATTGTCTAGCAGATGCAATCACAATAAAACCATACATATTTCCACCAAGTTATTTCTCTTACTACTGACACCTAACATTTTCTTGCTTCCGATATTGAGGAAGCCCAGAAATACACATCCCTGATAGTCACAAAACAGTAAAAGCCAGTTAGTTTCTAGACAAAGTAAAAAGATTCCTAATCATACCTCACTTTTGCAAGGATGAGTAAGAACTAGGCTTGGAAATCCTCCCCGGGCTGTTCCGTGCCCAATGGTACAGAACTGAGTAGCAGTGAAGAACTGTGGAAGCACAAAACCAGAAGCCAAAGGGGAGTGGACAAGGACTTTGGTAAATTTTCATTTCAGGGAACTTCAAAACATACAGAAAACTCCTGTAAAAGTGTTATTTTTCAGGCAGATAAATAGTTTGATAGGAGGGCGGTAAGAAATATGACTCTAGTAAAATGACGGTGGCAGAAATGTCTTCCAGAACAAAGGGTTTGTTTTATGAAGCACATTGTGCACATTCAGACCTACTCTTCCTTACTCATGGCACTGAGCCAGCTACTTGAGCCAAAGTCTTTTGCATTTATTTTAGTCTGATCACATGTTAAAAATAAAAACCTGGAGTCACATTTCTATGCAATTTAAGGACTCAGGTACACATTCACCCAACTGAAGTTGTTTTCTCTGTTTTTTTGGATGTCCCCATCCTAGCTAACACTATTATTTTCTGAAGAGATGGGATGTTCTGTGGCTGGGAAACTCTACTTTTGCTCCATTCATCAGAAAACACCATCGGGCCTCAGGACATCAGTCAGCATGAAAGAATCAATAAAAGTGAGGAAAGTCTGAAGTGAAAGATGTGGAGTTCTTACTAGTTTTAGAATGATGTACGTGTGTAGGCCTGTTTATAGCATCAGCTTCAAAGACATGCAGAAGCCACCAGAAATATGGGAGCTTTAGGGGTTTTAGTCATTTCTTTAGAATGGCTCAGTTGTTTTTCTAAAGAATAATGATGTAGCAACATTAGAAATGAGCTGAATAAGACAGCTTTAGCAGGAAATCGAATAGAACTATGGTGAAAGAGGGAACGTTGGCAAGTGTTAATAGAATAGGAACAGTTGTATCATAAATGTACCACTTTGGAAAAGACTGACACTTCAGTGGCAAGCAATCAGAGGACAAGTCAAAAAGTAGGCTCTATGGTTTCAGTCTCCTGTGGAACTGGAAATCTCACCATTTCATACTAGCCTGCCTCACAGAAGATTGTACAAATATCATATTTCAAATACTTGCTAAACTCTTGGTAGTGTCTGAAATTAAGAAATGTTTTTAAGTTACCCCATATTTATGCTAACCAAAAACATCCTGAACTCTGGGAAATTTAAAAAGAATAAAAGAATAAAAACAAACTGGTTCAGGCTTATATATATGGCTCATAACAGATACTCGGTAAAGCAGGATGAGGTCCTAAAACCTTATAACCAGTTATATGAGATTCATTGAATTAAATGGGGCAAGAGGTACCATGATGGATTTTTAAATATTATTTGAAGAATTGAAATGTTTCATGTGGAACAGACAGATGTTTCTGTATGAGCTCACTCAGGTGGAACCAGGACCAGGGTGTGTTAGCTCCAATAAGACAGACTTTTTTTCCCCCTAATAGTTACTTCTAAGTTACTTTCTAATACTCAGAGCATTTCACAATTCAGATTAGGCTAGTTTAAAAGAAAAGTTATTGAAGAACCACAGTAGAACAATAGGAAATAAATTTTTAAGAAGTTGTGCCACTTGTAATAGCAACAGAAAACTTCAGATACAGAGGAATAAATTTAACAAAATATATGCAAGACCTATACATGAAAATGACAAAAGAGCAAAGAGGAATAGTAAAGTCCCAAAGAAATGGAGCGATATACCTTGTTTTTGGATCGGGGGACTGGATATTGTGAGGATGTCATTTCTCAGAACCAAATTGGTCTACATCCAGCAGTAATCGCCATGTCTAAATCCTAGCATTTTTTTTACAAGCTGATTCTAAATTTTATATGGAAATGCAAAGAGGTAAGGATAGCCAAGGCAGTCTTGAAGAAGAACTAGATCACAGACATCAGGACACTTGTAAAGTGGTGGTAATTAAGACCTATAGGTTGGTGTAAAGAGACCAGTGGAACAGAGTAGAGAATCTGGAGACACACATTTATATTTATGGTAAAGCTGGCCCTGCATGCAGTACAGTGGGGAAAGGATGTCTTTTCAATCAATCATGTTTGGGGAATTAGCAATCCATGTGGGAAAAAACATCAGGAATGTCGAGCCTTATCTCACCCTGTACAAAAATAAAGTTCAGCTAGATTGTGAGGGTAAAACATGAAGTACTTAGCGGAAAACAGAGGAGACTAACTTTAGGACCTTGAAGTAAGCAAGGATTTCTTCAGTAGACATACAAGACTGTATTAAGGGAGTACAAAGGAAGACAAGAGTGGGAGATGTTAATAAGACAGATTTTTGTATTTCCAACAAAGGATTCCTATCCAGAGTATATATAGATAACTTCTACAAATCAGTAAGAAAAACGCAAGATGACCCAATGGAAAAAAATGGGCATAAAACATAAGTATTTCACAAAGGAGGTTCCCCATTTGGCCAATAAACTTGGGGAAAGATTGTCAACTTCATGAGTCATCAGACAGATGCAATTATAACCACGATGTGATACCATAGCAAATTCAAATTCATAGCAAATTCATAAATGGTTAAAATGAAAAAGGTAGACAATACCGTATGTTACTGAGGATACACAGGATTTGTAACACTCTTACACTATTAGTGGATGCATATCGTGCAACTATTTTGGAACACTGGCAGAATTTGCTAAAGTTGAATGTACACAAACACTGTAAGTTCAGAATTTCACTCCTCAGTATGTATATACAACAGAGGCATATACATATGTTCAGGAAAAGACATGTACAAGAATGCTCATAGCAGCACTGTTGGTAATAGCCAAAAATTAAAAACAACTCAACTGTCCATTAATTCCAAATTAACTGTGGAATATTCATAACAATGAAAAACCATACAGCCAAGAGCAGGTGAGCTACAACCACATACAGCAAGCAATGTGGGTGAGTCTCACAAACATGCTCTTGAAAGAAAGAAGCCAGACACCAAGGTTTTCATCTAAATGTAATTCAGAAGCAGGGTAAAGAACCTATGGTGTTGGAAGTCAGGAAAGGGGTTACCCTTGCCGGCTGGGGTGTGATTAGAAGGGGACACAAGGAGGCTCTTGGTGTGCTGCCATATTGTTTCTTGGACCTGGTGTTGGGTACATGGGTGTGTTCACTTTGTGAAAATTCTTTGAGCTGTACATTTACGATTTGTCTACTTTTCTGTAAATCTTACTCTTCAAAGAAAAAAACCTTAAAATATTCTTAGAGATACAAAATAGCTTAAAATGTTCTCAGAGATTCAAAAGCCTAAACTAGGTAACCATTTGGCAAAGATAGGTGGTAGAATTGAAGTATCATTGTAACTGTGAGCCGGTGTAGGGGTGGAGGAGAGTAAATGTTAGGGGAGGTGCCTTTCTTCTGACGGGCTTTGAGTAAGTAGTTTTCAGAGAAGATTTACGTTCTAAAGGATCTTAAGGAGATAATTATTGACAAACTTTAGAAGTCCCAGTGACAATAAAATCATTTGCTAAAAAATGGTGATTTTAAGCTCTTCACACCCAGAGCTTACCTGGGTGTGAAGAACATGGAAGTAAATAGGCTTGGATTCAGAAGATCTGGCAGATAAATGGAATATTCTGTACCTTTAATTTTGATCTCCACCAATATAAGAATGACAAAAGCATTTGCCTTTCTATGGTTTTATTTTTATTGCAATAATTTCATATCCCTGTCAAAAAAAATAAGTTGGCTATTTATTTTTTATTTTTTAAAAGATTTTATTTATTTATTTGGCACAGAGAGTGAGAGAGAGAGAGATCACAAGTAGGCAGAATGGCAGGCAGAGGGAGAGGGAGAAGCAAGCTCCCCACTGAGCAGGGAGCCCGATGCGGGACTCGATCCCAGGACCCCGGGATCATGACCTGAGCCAAAGGCAGACGCTGAACCGACTGAGCCACCCAGGCGCCGTAAGTTGGCTATTTAAAAAGTCAACATGATTAGTAAACAGAAACTGAAAGAATGTGGGACTGAGATAAAAGGGAAAGAGGTGTAGAAACACAGGGTAACCACAGTGGCTGGACTTGAGCACACAACTTGGCCGTTACCTTTAGGACATCCACAGCTGAAAGGGAAACCAAACTATTTCCTGAGGTGAGAGGCAACTACCTTCCATGAAACATTAAAGAGGCAGCTTTGCTAACGTGACACATCTTCCATAATGGGTGATGCAGCAAACATGTGAGTTGAATGTACAGGTTGTTTCTTAACGGTGACCTTCAGTAATGAAAAAGGAAGGTGTAATTATTCAGTGAATAGAATGTTGAAAGGAAGCAATGCTTTACCTAAGCGCCCCCCCAACTCATTATTTGGGGGAGACACATGGCATTTGGGGCTTTTTTTTTTTTTTTTTTGCTGCTTTTTCAGAGTGTGATTTCCCATTTGTGTCAATCAAGCAGGTGCCCGGGAAGAACCGAGCATACAGCAGGCACAGCGTCGATCGGCTGTCTTTCTGTCCTTTAAGTCCCCGATTCCATGTCTGCCCTTACGCTGGGAGCAGCAGAGCAAACTTCTTCCCACCGTAGCTGGGATCCCTGCCAGTAAAGTTTCCAAATGGAGCACAGATGAGGTATATTTTATTTTCTTTGTCTGCCAGGGACAGGATATAGCAGTAGGTCCTTCAGGGATGGATACAATGAATGCAAGAGGGGTTGAATCTTTTTTTCTGAAAGAGAAGAAATTGTTCTGAGAAGAGCAACTAAAACATATAGGAGAAATACTTTGAACCTGTAGCACTTAGATTCTGACTTCTTTTTTAAACGGGAATTTTCATCTTATTTTTGACAGGTGTCAGAATTCATACAGAGCTTACCTGGGTGTGAAGAACATGGAAAGGTATTTAAAGATGAAGTAAGTATTCCACTAAATGGCAGTATGTTACTTAATGGGATCAAAGCACCGAAATGCAATGAATGGTGAAATAGTTTGAATTGGCAGAAGAGGGAAGAAATGGATTGTGTCGAAATTGACAAATTGGTATGGAGTTGTCTAAAAAGCAGTATTAGTCATTTGTATGAAAATGTCTTTGTATAAGATTAGATGCAGCGGGAATGTTTGTACCATTTTATGATGCTCCACAGCGATAGCACTAGGTTAATTATTTAAAAAAAAAAAAAAAGCGAAGTGGGGGGTGCCTGGGTGTCTCACGGTTGAGTCGGTTGAGTATTCAACTCTTGATCTCAGCTCAGGTCTTGATTTCAGCTCAGGTCCTGATCTGGGGTCGTGGGTTCAGGCCCACCATGGGGCCTACTTATACACACACACGCACAACACATACACCACACATACCACACACACATACACACACACAGGAAACTTAATAGCATGCATTTACATAATTTATAGCACAGAGAGAAATAAGCAACATTTTATTTTTAATAATATGAAATGAGTTCCCTTTATTTTATTTTCAAACATCATTTTAACAAGACTGAAATTCATTTAATGTTATAATAAATATTACTGTTACTGCTAAAGTAACCCCTTAGATCTTATACCTATCTCAGTAATGTTTGTAATAACTGATATTCATTACAGTCTGCAGTTGGGAGATTATTACATTAGTTGTTTTCATCTGCCTGCCCAAAACTTCACTATAAGAGATGATTAATAATGTTATGACCCATATTGAGCATTAGAACAAAAAAGAAATTGGCTTTAACTACATAGAAGTAATGCTGTTTGAGTACAGCAGGAGACTCTTTTCACTAGAGACCTTTCAAAATAAGCCCCTTACCAGTCAGCTCCTCCAAGTAGAGCAGTCAATTATCAGTCTCATCTTGGCTACCGGAAGGTAGAAAGAAGACCAAGTAATTTCAGAAGGCTTTCTCCACATCTGCTGTCTACAGTTATAAGTATATATGCCTTGTTTGCCTCTGTGTTTAGCCTCAGCAGCTAAGAATAGCACACTTTCAATTAAGAGCCTTGCAAGAGTATCAGGACAGCTAAGAACCCAAACACTGGGCATCAGTGTAGTGACACTAAGAGATATCATTATGCTTTAGATGGATGCCCATTAAGACATACAGGGATCTGATTTTTGACATCCTTTTTTTTCTGATTGAATGCTTTTTTCTTTTTTTTAGTTGATCTTTTTTTTTTTTTTGATTTAGTGGTTTTTAGTTGATCTTTAATTGACAGTTATTCAGATTTTGAGTTTCTTTCCTTAATGCCTAAATTCTAAGTGTCGTTCGTGGACCACTGTCCATTACTTTTCAGTCCCTGAACAGATTTAGACACCTGCAGGGAGCTGCTGTTCTTTCTTTGAAAAAACAGGTAGTTATTACCTGTGAAAATGATAAAACATTTTTAAAAATAAATTTATAGTACATCCATTTTGTAAATCCTATTTTTGGTTCGTTGATATCCAGACAATCTATGTGGATTTGCTTGGTTACTTGAAGATTCAAGTTCAAATTCAAATATGATATTTCTTTGAATACATTTTCTCTTCATGGCATATTATCGCTGGAGATGTTCCTCAGGCACCAGTATCCTCAGTGTCCTTCTTGTGAGGAGTGAGACGGTGAATGTTCATTGTCCACATGGATCATTCCCATATTCATTCATTCCTGTAGTCATTCATCCTGTAATTTCTTGCAAAATTCATGTCTCACAAGGTTAGCAGGTGTTGGTTTTAAGGCCTAGAAGTAAACCATAAATCTGACTAAAGTCTAGTAAGTGATCTCTAGGGGGAACAGTACAGGGGGTGTTAGGATGGGCCGTTATTTGAACCATCCTTGATTTCACTTTCTCTTACACACTCCACATCTAATCTGTTGAAAATCCTACTGGGTGTATTTTAAAAAACATGTAGGGATTCTGGCTGTTTCTCTACCTTCACCACCTCCACTCTGGTCTGAGCCACCATCATCTCCCACCTGGATTAATGCCATCACCTCCTGAGCAGTCTCCCTCCTTCTGCTTTTGCTCCTCTACAATCTGTTCCCAGCCTAGCCAGGGGGATTCTGCTAAAAATAAGTGCGATCATGTCACTCTTCCATTCCTAGACTTCCAGTAGTAAATCAGAATAAAAGCAAAAATCCTCACAAGGGCCTGCAATCTGATACCCAAGACCTCGAGAGAGGTGAGAACCTCCTGACCTCTGTCTCCTCCATCCCTAGCTTACACTGTTCCACATGCTGGCCTCCTTGCCATTCTCTGAATCATCCAGGCACATCCTGGCTCTTCCCTACGCGGAGTGTTCTTCCTCCAGACATTCACGCGGCACACTCCCTCTGCTCCGTTGCTACCTTCTCAATCATCCATCGCTGCCCCTGCTGCCCAGTCATCTCCCCACCCAGCTGTCTTCTTCATAGCATGAATCATCTTTTAGAATGTGTTACTGTCACTTCATTACTAATTAATTTGCTTATCTCTTACATTTTTTGCTCACAGTCTATCTTTGACTACTAGAATGTAAACTTAACAAGGAGTTTTGGTTTCTTTCCTTGCTTGTTTTTGCCTATATCTGTTTTATTCTCTGCTGGATGCCCAGCCCCAAGAAGAGTGTCTGGAATATAGTAGATGTTTAAAAAGTTTTTGTTAAGTGAGCATGCTCATACCTTTACCCTCTGAGGAAGACAGCCAAACAGCATGTCACTGTGATTTGCAGAGTTAAAACATTGGGTAGAGAACCAGGGGTGCAAAGTAATAGTAATGAAATGGAAGGCCAGGACCCCGAGCTCCAAATCCTCTTTCGGAGTTTTGGGCCTTTCGCAAGATACTTCATCTCTGGAGTTAGACCAGTTTATATACATTACAAAAACAAACAGAAAACAAGCCCAGTATTACATGGCAGTGATCACTGTTCTTCGAAAGTATTTTCTCAAATTAAGTTTACTTCCTTCCAATACAGTCGCACTTTGAAGTAGCTTTTGTGAAATATACTGGCTGGCACTGGCCTCGGGATGACTTTTTCTTTCCTGGGGAACCTTCAAAACACTCTACCAGAACTTCACCTTCTCATCCCACTCCCAGCTTTCAGATCCCAGCCTTGCCGTTCTCGGACTCTTTCTTCTCATCAGTCATCTGTCATGTTAAATTCTTATGTAATCTCAAAAGGAGCCTCAGTAGGGCCCAAGGTCATAATAAACAATTCCGTCTTTGTAATGAGCTCCTTGGGAACCAGTATGTTAGTTGATATTTTCATTAATGACTTAGAAGACTTCTGTCGGACCATTTATTCTACCAAGGTCTGCCTTGGTTGAGTCAAGTGTTAATAGATCTGCCTCTCTGCTTGACCTTGCTTGATCAGAGGACTGTCATAGCACAAACAAGTGAGACCAGAGCAGATGTTCCCCAAAAAACAATGGAACATTTCTCCTACCTGCCACTGAACTTGTCTTCACTTGGAAATTTACATTGGAGTGTCTTTCCTTCCTAGTTTATGACAGTGGGATGTTTCCTTACTGAAACTTAGGAAACTTTTGCAAATAATTATTACTCAAGGTTGCATAAGATGGCCCTAGTTCTTACAGATTAAAAGGGTTTTCAGGCTTGTTGTATTTTTAGAGAAAAGAGGAAAATCTTAAACAGCTATTAAACTATATCAGCCTTTATTTGGTAAACTGTTTATAGAATTTGGAGTGGTATTGGTTTGCTAGGGCTGCCATGACAAAGAACCATAAACCAGTAGCTTAAACAGCAGAAATGTATTGTCCTCCTAGTTCTGGAGTCTGGAAGTCTAAAGAAGGCAAGAAGTCAAGGTGTTGGCAGGGTAGCTTCCTTCTGAGGGCGGAGGAAAAGGATCTGTTCCAGACCCGCCCCCCTGGCTTATTGATGGTGTTCTATCTTTGTCTTCACATCATCTTCCCTCTATATGTGTCTGTCTCTGTGTCCACATTTCCTTTTGTTATCAGGACATCAGTCATCTTGGATCACCCTACTCCAGTATGATCTCATCCTAACCAATTACTGCAGTAACCCTGTTTCCAAATAAGTCACATGCTGAGGTTATTGGGGGTTAGGACTTCAGTGTATGAATTTGGGACAGACACAATCAACTCAAAACAGTACATTGCTGTCAAGGTTTCTGATGTACTCTGAGGCAGAGAGCAAACGTGTGTTTTACTGGTTTTTTGTTTTGTTTTGTTTTTTGTTTTTACTTTTTGTGTAAAATGGAAAAACTGGAAGAGAAACGAATTAATTTTTTTGAGGTGGTGGGATACCCCCAAACCTGAAAATTTTACAAAAAGACTATTCCTTTGTTCTGTCCACTAAACCAGACATCATCTTCTTCAGAGCTGTATCTTTAAACCTCAAAGTTTTCTATTCTGTGGAAGCACAGAATTTTAATCTCAGAAGAGACCCGGAGAGAGGAAGGATGTCGCTCACAGTTACCCGCCTAGTAGTAGTAGAACCAGCCTAGTCTGCCATTCTTCACACCATGTTTGCCACCTTCATCTGATGTGTTTCCATCTACACTGTTGATTGCCCTTGTTAGTTACTACTCTTTTTCTGTATATGAAGAGTAATTGTGGCCATTCTAAAAATGAATGCTATTTATTCACTAAATAAATAAAGTGAATGTTATTTATTTTTTTCATTGTGGAAAGTTAATTAAAAAAAATGTTAGAGTGCAGCTGACACGTTTGCCTGAATTCCTTTGTTTATATCCACAAACAGCTGTGTGCTTATTCTCCTCTCTCATTCGAAAACCTGCCATAATGGGAACTGGATCTAAGGCACCCCCGAGTTTTCCAAATTCTTCTTGACTCATTGCCTAAGTCAGAGTCATCACGGGGAGATATGGGCGTCATCTTCCATTTTCCTGCAGGCCGATTTTTCAGATGACTGAGTTTTTACTTTGCTTCCAGTCCACATTTGGTTATTGTCGGTAAGAAAGGTTCGTTAGTCGGGAATGTTCACACACATGAGCTCCATCTGTGCCATTCTCATGGTGTTGTGCAGAAGACAGCTGATAACTCAGCTTCGGCTATTTGCCACACCACCACATCCAATTGATTCATAATCTTCTTTGTCTTTTCTTCCCATTTTAGCAAATTGATGGAGAAGCCTTTCTGCTTATGACCCAAACAGACATTGTTAAAATTATGAGCATTAAGTTGGGCCCTGCTCTCAAAATTTTCAATTCTATCCTGATGTTCAAAGCTGCAGAGAAGAACTCTCACAATGAACTTTGAAGATGGTGAATTTTGAATACCATCAGCTTTCTGCTTTAAAGCTCATGTTTTATTCAAAGCACAAGGACAGTTATAACTCCTACACAAGAAGTCTCCAAAACTCAAAAGAGCGATGCTATCAGATTATTTATATTCCTCAAGAGACAATATATACGAATCCTTATGAAAGTCCTTCGGCTTTTAACCAAGTACTGTCTAACAGCGGTCATCCTTTGGTTCTGTTCACTGAGCTAAAATTTATCTTTGTACATCTTTTTGAGGCTGGGGGGTGGGGGGGAAGGGGACTTCGTTAATTATTTATGGTAAAAGGGGGGGATCGGAGTAAGAATTTTTGGCATTTTGTAAACATTGTTGAATTCTCTTTCATGCACACTATTTCTTTTTCAGTACTTTCAGAAACCTTTTTATATAATCCAACTTCAACTGAAACCAAATTAGTCAAAACCTGGCTGAGATTTGCCAGTGGGACTGTTACCTGTATTGTTCATTCTGTGCCATATTTTGAATTGCAACATTATGCTAAGTATAACTCTGCAAGTCATGATATTGCCTAACTGCTTGTCATAATTTGTTGAGGCTGAATGGTGGTAAAAATTACTTTTCTTTCAATCAGTGTTTTTACTTTTGCACGCATTATGAAATGTTAAACAAATTACTTTTCACCAGCATCTTTACTATAATTACCAAAAACATGTATATAAATAATGGAATTGAAAAATAAAATATATAAATAAATTAGGTGATGTATTTGAATGGCATCAATCTTATACATTGTGGTGCCCTATGTATTTACAGGAGTCCAGTGGTATCAAAGGAATATGCAGTTCTGTTGGTGGGGGGGATGTTTGTAAGGATCTTGAACTATTTATGAGATGATCTTGAGCTTCTCTCTAATTGCCAATGAAGTCACTGTGATGCTTTTCAGAGCTGAAGGGGTCGTTCTGTCGATGGAAACACTAATCCATAAAGAGCTCTGTCCCAGATCTTCTTCCTCCAGACCCAAAGATTTTCTTTGGGTCTGCTGAAGAGAGAGTATGTGGATTTTACTGAAAAGGTAGGGTGTGAGGGGGCAATAGCAGTCAACACAAAGATTCTAAATGCTCACAGATCCAGGGGGCAGCTTCCCAAAGCAATTATTCAAGAACCTCCATTTTGGAAAGATTCCTTTCTCTGTAGAACAGTTCACCTAAGTTTTATAAATGTACAGATGCACTTTAAATGAAAGCCCTTGATTACCTAGAAACTGCTAGCACTAGTGTTTCTTTTCTGAGAATGCCTTTCCAACACAAAAGGTAAATTATCTTATCAGCCTTTGGATGTAATGTCTACTTCTAGGATGGGCCATTTGTTCGAGGGCTATTATAAGGGTAGGAAGTAAGTTTGTAGCATGCTGTCTGAATTCTGGGGCAAGTTCCACCTCTCTCTTTAGTTGCCCTTATTTTTTCTGATGTAGGACTTCCTTTGATGTCCCCCGTTGGGAGTCTATTAGCAGTCCTTTGCATTTGTCATAATTCAAAAGGGCCGTGGCATCTGCAATGTCCCTTTCATTTCTTGCATGAGTCTGCTTAAATAAGTTTTTCGTTGTTGGGGTTTTTTTTTCTTTTATGTTCTGTTCAGAATTTGTACATTCAAGTTGCACTTGTTATATCTGACATGAATGAAATAAAATCTTAATTGCAGATACTTTTTTTACATATGTATGATTTTTTTTTTTTTAGAAAGCTTGTCATACAGGCAAATGAGAGCAGGAACAATGTCAAAGGTTTGGGCATTACCTCGCTATGTAATGAATCTGCAGGATTCAAAATTGTCCAACTGTGTCCCAGGTGATGTGAAGAACAACAATAAATAAGTAAGTAAATAAGTAGAGACATTTTTAAAAAATCACAAACATTGTGTAAGCCAAATGGGACCTGTCTGCAGGTTGGAATATAACCATAGGCTGCCATTTTGCAACTTCTAGATTCAGTAGATGCAGACTCCAAAGTAAATAGAGTTATGTTAGTCAACAGTAGGAGTATTTACCAAGTGGCAGGGCCATGCTGGGCACTGGGGACAGATGCACCATGGAAAGAGATAATAAAGCTTAAGTGAATTTGCCCTCACGGTCACGTCTGCCATGTTTAGAGCCAAACCTCACTGCAAGGTTCCTGCAGCTCCACCCCAATCTCTTTCCCAGCCTATGGGAACAAAGAGAGGCTTTCATTGACCTTTAGCCACAGAGGCTGTGGACTTCCTAAGGAAAGGAATCTGTAAGAATTTGGTAAATTCATTTGGGACAGGAAGAATAAGACAGATTGTGGAACTAAAAAAAATTGGGGGGGATTTCGGGGAAATAAAGGAAAGTTTGTAAGGAACTAAAGGCACATTCTAGTGAAAGGGAAGAAACAGAAACCATGGAATTAGGGACTAGTTTAGGTGAAATTGACATGTACCGAATTGGTACTCTGCTGTCCATTCTTACCAAAGCAGTTAGTATTGAATAGTCATTGTAGAGGTGGGCAGCTGATTGAAATTTCATTTTCTAGCTCACTAACTTAAGCATTTTAAAGAATAGTACTTATAGAGAAAAAGGCATTAGAATAAGTATTTCCAGAGATGTATGTCATACAAATATTTTTCAATAATTCATAGGAACCCCTTTCTTCTTAAACTTTAAAAAAATTAATGTGATAAAGTTACCTCCAAAATGCTCATGGCATTGTGATGGAAGTATTAGCACACTTAAGTCTCTTCAATCTCTAAACCAGTCTGTTTTGTCAAAACTGATAGGTTCTGTTGAAACTGTGATGATATCAAGGAGTACCTCAAAACTAATGTTGTCATGTATCCTTATTAAATACTTGAAAAGAGAGCGCTGAGTCTTGTCAGATCTAAGAAATTCTTATGTACCATCTTTAGGAATAGAACAAATGGAATTACAACATGGGACTCTGAGCTGGGTGGATGAGGAACCAGAACCTGGACTTTGGAGATAGGCAGGAGAACAAGTCTAGGAAGGGACCAAGCCAAAAACTAGAAACTGGTGCCCAAAAGGCTCTGGGAGGAAAAAGCCAGGTCCATATTACAGACCGAACAAACCTGAGCAGCAGCTAGGGCACATGCCAACACCTGACGTCAAAGCCCGGGAAAAGTAGAAATGGTGTGAAGAGACAAGAATGGGGCCATCACTGTATGCCAAGGGAGGGAGGCAGTGAAAGACTCCACAGGTCACAGATGATCAGAACCTGTACGAGCAAGATCAGCCAGCAGTGAGGAGACCTCAGGAATGAAGCAGACTTTGTTCTCAACAAATGAGGTTGAAGGAAACCAAAATGCTTGGACCAGGCAGGTCAGCTGGGGGAAAGAGAACTGGGGAGTATGTGCATCTTCTTAAAATGTTCAAGACCAAAATGTTTCCAAGCCATATTCAGACCAAGGAGACAGCCCACAGTCCACAAATGTACAGCTCCTGGGCATTAAGTCTTACGAGGGTGGGCATATTGGGCCAAGTGCAAGGTGTGTGATACCCTAATCAAAGGATTTGAGTGTATCTGAAGTGTAAGGTCTTTCAAAAACTAAAGCACCGTTGAAATTGAAGCTTGGGGGGCGCCTGGGTGACACAGTCAGTTAAGTGCCCAACTCAGTTTCAGCTCAATTCGGGATCTCAGGATGATGAGATCAAGTCCTGCACTGGGCTCCACGCTCAGCTCAGGGTCTGCTTGAGATTCTCTTTCCTTCTCCCTCTGCCCCTCCCGCTTGTGCACATGCTCTCTCTCTTCTCTCTCTCTCTCAAAATAAATCTTTAAAAAAAAAAAAAAAGTGTAGTTTGGACCATTGAATTTCTTAGAACTCAAACAGCTCTTTAACATAGTATTTTATTACAGAATTTCACAAAGAATTTTCAGTATCTAAGCATAAAGATAGAAGATACTGAAATTCATTTGCATCTTTGAGACAAGATGATTTTCTAATACCTACCTCTACTACAATGCTAAGTCAAAACAGTTTTTTTAATAAAATTTTAGCTGTCCCAGAGATCATTAGTTCTGATGCAATATTTGGCATGCTACTAAGTAACTGGGTGTTGAAATCCTACTTCCTTTAACTTTTCTTTCATAGAAGGAAAATAGGGACTGTGCATATCAAAAATCAGTGTCTCTAGGAAGTTGAGGGTTTGGGACAGTCTTCTTGGACACTCAACTCCAAATACGTGGAAGGCAGCTATGAGAGCAGCCAAGGCCGTAACACAGTCGTCTACCCTTGTGAGCTTCTCTTTTTCTAAATACAAAGAAAATTCGCAGACATCGACATTGAAAGGATTCTTGACTTCTAATACGGGTGTGGAAACTTGCACCTGAAACAACAGATAATAGAGTCACCACTCTGTGATGTGGATAATAGCTAAATAATATAAGCTGCCTCAATTTAACCATGGTACTACAGTAAATGAGCTTGGTGTAGTGCAGCATATTTATAAATATGACAAAACCATTCTTCAAAAGAGACCATCACCCTGTTTTCAAATAAATTCTATGAAGATGTGAATATCAAACTCAATGTCAAACCCAGTGGTCACTGACATACTGCATACCTTCTCATTCACAATGACAAAAAGGCTGGGATCATCCCCAAAAACATCTGGTAGGAGCAAACATGTGGCTGTCATCTTCATATCTGCCAAAACAACATGGTTAAGGTCCAAGGAAAAATAAGATTTTGCCAACTATTAGCAAAAGCCAGTCTTAAAATGTGGGTGTTTTTTTTTTAAAATCATTTGCATCTATAGAGAATAAACCAGTCTTCTTGCATCAGTGTTTCACAACCGTTTAACTAAACATTTGCCTTCTAATAAACATCCAGATCTCATGTTCTGCCCTCCAGGTCATGGCCAGGAGAAGATAAGAGTCCTGTATTCTCTGTCCATCAGCCAGGAAGATTTTAGCATGCTTTACCTTGTGATTTGTATTATGACATTAATAGGTAACTAGTTCCCTAAATATAATTTTACAGTATCAAGTGTACTTTTAATTCTATACCTCAACTCGTCCTATTTGAGAACATTTTTTTCATCCTGCATGTTGTTTCACTGAATTACTTATTTCCAAAACAGAGCTTTTCTAATTATCCCGATTTATACAGATAACTAAGACCAGATTGCCCCACCCCCAGGTTTACTAACGTTTCAACATGTCTTCATCTGTGTGCTGTTTCATTTTTTCTTGCAATGCAATATTGATTGGATTGTCCACCACTGAAAAAGAAGTCAGTATATTTTCTGAATAGGATTCCAGAATGTGCTTTGTTTTCTTATAAATATCTGTTCTCGTAAGAAGTTGGAATTCTCTGAACATCTAGGAAAAAGAAGAAAAAGACCACAAGAAAAGCTAATGTGTAAAATGTAAGGGAGTAAATAATTCTTTAGGATTCTATTAAGCTTTGAATGCTAGTTTGTTTGTTTGTTTATTTATTCTGTTTTTTTTCCTATTTTTATCTATTTTTTTATTATATTAGTCACCATACAGTAGTCATTAGTTTTTGATGTAGTGTTCCATGATTCATTGTTTGTGTTTGTGTATAACACCCAGTGCTCCATGCAATATGTGCCCTCCTTAATACCCATCACCGGGCTAACCCATCCTCCCACCCCCCTCTCCTCTGAAACCCTGTTTGTTTCCCATAGTCCATAGTCTCTCATGGTTCATCTCCCCCTCTGATTTTCCCCCCTTCATTTTTCCCTTTCTTCTCCTAATGTCCTCCATGCTATTCCTTATGTTCCACATATAAGTGAAACCATATGATAACTGTCTTTCTCTGCTTGACTTATTTCACTTAGCATAATCCCCTCCAGTTCCATCCATGTCAATGCAAATGGTGGGTATTCATCCTTTCTGATGGCTAAGTAATATTCCATTGTATATATAGACCACATCTTCTTTATCCATTCATCTGTTGAAGGGCATCTCGGCTCCTTCCACAGCTTGGCTATTGTGGGCATTGCTACTATGAACATAGGGGTTCATGTGGCCCTTCTTTTCACTACATCTGTATCTTTGGGGTAAATACCCAGGAGTGCAATTGCTGGGTCATAGGGTAGCTCTATTTTTAACTTTTTGAGGAACCTCCACACTTTTCCAAAGTGGCTGTACCAACTTGCATTCCCACCAACAGTGTAAGAGGGTTCCCCTTTCTCCACATCCTTTCCAACATTTGTTATTTCTTGCCTTGTCAATTTTTCCCATTCTAACTGGTGTAAGGTTGTATCTCAATGTGGTTTTGATTTGAATTTCTCTGATGGCTAATGATGTTGAACATTTTTTCATGTGTCTGTTAGCCATTCATAGATCTTCTTTGGAGAAGTGTCTGTTCATGTCTTCTGCCCATTTTTTGACTTGATTATATGTTTTTTGGGTGTTGAGTTTGAGAAGTTCTTTATAGATCTTGGATACCAGCCCTTTATCTGTAGTGTCATTTGCAAATA